GAATAGTTGGAAAGATTTATTAAATTTATATGTAAAAGAAATTTCTCATTTGTAATTCTAAAAAGCAGATTTATCTCTTCATTATCTGCAAAGACACAATTAGATAATGGTACTATTATTCTGACTCCAAAAAGTCTATATAACTACTTGATTAATTTTATTTAATTCTGGTTGGGTTAATTAATTTCAGTGATTATGCAATATATTTACCTATCTTTTTTTAAAAATTCAAGTGCATAAATTTTACATTAAATATCCACTGTTGGATTGGTATCTGCCAAATCAGACTGCAGTTGAAATGTAACATTGCCCTCTCAAAAATCTTTCAAAAGTACAAGGTATATTCTAATATGTACAATACATAAGATAAACCATTAATTAAATATGGTTAAAAATCACAATGTTGACTTCTGGTTTAAAAGAATAAAACTAAATAAATTGCCTTTTGAAGATAATCCTTGAGCTTTTGGATTTTTAGGCATATTGTTTCTAGTATTCTTTGGGAAGGTATGTTTCTTAGGGGTTTTTTTTATGATCTCTCTGCAATAAAGACAGATCTTCAGTAAGCTGGTCAATCGTTTTCAAATGTCTCCTGTTACTAGGTGAGTTCAGTAATCAGGATGTCAACTGTTGTTCACTTTTACTGGTTTGGTAATTAAAAACATGTCCAGCCATATAATAGCAACACATACATAAGCACAGTTGTGGGTATTTCATTCTCACGTTTAACCTTGCTCCTAATCAAACTCCAGTTACTATGAATGTAAATAAGACTTCGAATGTCTTAGTTGTGGGCTCCGTAGATAAGGAATAATAATTATTTTTCTAACTCTTCAGTGAGTAAATATTTACAATAACTGGGTTTATTATCCTATATTTTTCTCTAAAATGTGTATTTTGTTTCATTATTTAGTAAATATAATATGGAAAATATTACCAAATATGTAAATGCTGTTATCTTTGCCAAAATTTTGCCATTTCACAGTTTTGTAGTTAAGACTGAGTTCTTGCTAAAAAGGGCAAAATTAAAAGAAACTCAACTAGCCATCAAATTAGCTATCCCAGAAGGCTGATTTGTGTTCAATTTAGAGAAGAAAACAAGTTTAAAGACAACCAGAAATTACTCTAAGATTGTTTTGCTAAGTTCAACAATTGATTTTTTGAACAAAGGATGGACATAATTTCTATGACTTCCCTGAATTTTGTCTTTCAGCCGGGGATCTCAACACTACAGAGTTTCTTAAAGTTCAGAATTACCTCAGTTTTCTAGGTAACAGTTTGGCTGTTTATTCAAAAACCTGTGCCACAAGCATCCCTCATCATGTAATTTTGAGATAGAGGAAGACAGACAGACACAAAGACAGAGAGAGAGAAGTTTCAAGTTATTTGACCAATTTTTTGAGATTTCATTTGTTTGAGTTCTTTTGAAATCTAACTCATTGAATTCCCTTTGTTCAAAGAACACAGAGAGCTACGTGACAGAGAGTTTGAAAAAATAAATTTTAAAGCTAATTCCCATTTATTGTTTATTCTTCAGAAGTGAAAATGTGTTAGGATCTAAGACAGCATGTGGTTTTCATTTAGCCCTTAAGGTAGTTTGAATTTGCTTTCTGTAGCCTTAAAAAAAAAAATCAAAACCTGTTCATGAGTATTCAAAAGGTGCCCAATTAGTCCTAAAAAATATAAAATATGATTCTTCCTACTCAAGATCATAAACTAATATTTTTAAGCTAAGAATGGCAATTGTATCTGTTCTACACAGAGCAATGAACTTAATCAAGTGTTTATTTTTTCCTATAGCTTTTCTTTTAGTTGATATTTATTATTTAGAAACACGTGTAATTTAGAACTAAACAAGGTGCATGAAAAATCTAGTCTAGCATCTAGTAGGCTTGTTCAATATCAGTAACACATGCTGTTAAAAGAAAACGCCTGATTTCTGATATGAATTTTTCTAGCTTTATCTCTTCAACATACTTGAAACTCATTGCTTTCTACTACATTGAGGGCCTCTAGTACTAATTTTCTACTTTTATAGTTTTTACAGATTGTGCAAAATTGAGCCCTTCTTATATTTCTACAAAGATTAATGTCACCAGATTTTTCTTGTGTCTCTCAATAAGTTAGTTCTCAGGCTTCAGATATTTCCAATAACTCTTCTGAAACCATGAACATTTGCTGTACTATTCTTCAAAGTATCAGACAATCAATAAATAAACAATATTGAAGTAACAGCATCCTCCGTCTTCATACAAAAACTGGTAACCTCTCTGTTACTGTATTAAAATTTGCCATAGTTATAGATTAAAAATCTTGCCAGTACTGTATCCCAACAGAATTAAATACTATATTACATAAAATCCAGCATACTTTCTTTCTAGTATAATTTTTTTAAATTTACATCTCAAGGATGATATTTTTGGGATCTCAGTCAAGAAAAAATAATCTAAAAGTTGTCATTTAGCACCTTGACATTTTTTATTTCATCTATATATTATAT